GCAACTCATCAAATCGACCACGATACGTTTGTATCACGAATTGGTACCAGCTCTTGTATTTATTCATCATCTCATCCATCAATTGGATGGGGATCATCAATACGTCAGTATCTTCTTCCGCCTTTGCCATGATTTCACTTGCCTGTGATTGAATTGCGCAGATCATCGAAACGGCACAAGCCTGGCCAGGTCCGAGATAATACATCAGAAATTCACCACCGTCCGCGTTTTCCCGGTAGATTTTTATTTGTCCTTCCAGGACAAGCACTGTTGATTTGATATATTGCCCCGTTCGCATGATCACATCGCCGGCTCGGAATGAGCGCATCACAGCGTTTTTATCGATCAGGTCGATAAGCTCGGGTTCAAATTGAGGAAATAGTTGGTGCCAGTTCATATAGTAAAGGTAACGTTATGAGTAAACAAACTATTATTCCAGGCACCTTCGGTGAAAACCTATTCAAGTATCTTTTCCATTTGCATACTACGGCTTCCTTTTATCAGTACGTGGGTGTTTTCAAAACCCTGTGCCCGCCACCAATCCTTTGCCTCGGTGGCGTTTTTGAATTTAATATAAGGATGAGATACGTTTAAAAAATCACCGCCGACCAACACCACATTGTTCCATTTATATTCACCAATCAGCCTGATGATCGCTTCATGTTCCGCAATACTATCCGCGCCCATTTCTGCCATCGCACCGAGCATCATGACTTTATTGTCCGCATGAAGTTTCGCAAAGTTCTCTATCGCCAGTTTCATACTACTTGGGTTGGCATTGTACGCATCCAGGATGATCTTATTAGAGCCATGAGTGACCAGTTGCGATCGGCTATTGGAAGGAGTATAATTTTCAATAGCAGCTACGATCTTTTCGCCTGGAATTTTAAAGGTGATACCAATAGTCACCGCCGCGAGTACATTAGGCAGGTTGTATTCTCCTACCAATTGCGTTTTGATGATGCCATTATCCAACCCCTGCGTGATCTCGACTTCCAGCCACGGTTCGCTTTTTATCACTCTTCCTTTCACATGTGCATCGCTTATCGTTCCGTACTTGATAATACCACTGATACCTTTACTCATTTCCTGCAAGTAATCATAATCCCACATGACGAACGCGGTGCCATGCGTCAGCGTTCGCAGGTGATCGTAGAGTTCGCCTTTCCCTTTTCTTACTCCTTCTACGCTGCCGAAACCTTCCAAATGAGCTTTACCACAGTTAGTGATGAGGCCGTGGGTTGGTAATGCATACTTACAATAACCCGCTATTTCTCCAATATGATTAGCGCCCATCTCAATTACCGCC